ATATATATATATATATATATATATATATAGATCTAACAAACTTTTAGTAGTGCCAGATGATTCTTTCGACTAAGTTTATAACTTAAATATCGTAAAAAAGAAAAAGAACAATTTTGTCATGTCATTAAAATTTAGTACTGTACATCCATGTAGGCGTAGCCCCGACTGCGAGTTCAAACATGTTTGTTAGACCGTTAACGCAATATATTTCTGTAAAAAGCAAACAGAAATCATATCAATCATACAGAGGGTTGGCTGAGCAAATGTTTGTCAAAGGTCTAGAGGATGTCTATACATAAACATTTACTCTGTATGTATTCGTGTTAATGGTTAATGTACCGGATACCATAGTTACCAACTGTCTCCTTTCCGTCATACCAGATATCGTGGCACGAAAGCGCACGCATATCATTTTTGTCTTTGTTCCTTGAATTTTATATCTGTACAGTTTGATGATTATTGGTCGAATAAATGAATGAATGAATTAGGAGACTTTTTAAAAATGTTCTCACAAGCATATGATCACCTATACTTGAGGTATCCCCACGCATATTATGGATGAAGTATACTGCAGGCCTCTGGCTAAAGTGTTTGTTTGGACTATAGTTTTAAGAATGTACTACTACGTATTTTATTGAATAAACAAATCTGATCTAAAACTGTGTAGGCCCAGCTTAATTTTCATGGAAATGATTGCAAATAAGGTGTTTCCTAATATTTTGTTTCTGTTTAAATTGTAACTTAGTAAGCATGGATCCGCATTTTGTATAATTAGGCGTAGAGCTGAAGCTTGCTGAAACTGAGCGTTTATGCTTACGTTTCAACTGACATATTAACCATTTTAATTCCTATTCATTAGTCAATATGCTATTAATTAACTATGTCAGAGATTTGTTATTTTACATTAAATAAATTAAACTATGGGAATTAATGTACGGAAGTGTTTTCATCGGGGTGATTCAGTAACTACAATCATACGCCCAGCAATTTCTTCAGGGACGACGCCTACTAAAATTACACCCGCCCCCAGCATCCTGCCACACTACTACAATTTGTGTGTAGCCCACGTGACAATCTGCTTGTTTGCATAACAGAACCGATTATTTTTTTAATTTTTTATATATAATGTTTTATGATGATATAAATCGCTTGTAAATAACAGACACCAATAGCAACTACATTATTTTATCAGTGCAATAGACATCTTCATGTAGGTACCAATGTACCTTAACGGTCGACGCGCAATAGATAAATACATCAAAGTTGTTTAAATACATCGACTGTGGTGTCTGACCAACACTTAACACATGTTCATCAGTTGACTTATAAAAGCATGCTACGTGCAAACCGAAGCTCTGTGTTTTTTTTAGGTCAGAACCTGTCTGATTGGACAACGTGCACTCATTGGACGCTATTGTGTGTCTTCAATTATCCTATCAATTAGGCCTATTAATATTGCTAGTTTTCCTCTTTCACCGCGTAGCCACTTATATTCATTTTTCTTTCGATAATTCCGTTAAGTGTTTTACTGAGTTGAGCTTTTCTTGACGTCAAATTTAAACAGACACATCGAGTAGGTCAACCTGATATATTTATGAGCGGTTTCTAGTGAGGTAAATATAAATTATTTGTTGTTATGCGATTATGATATTTCAGCAGTAGTGCAATTTTATAGTAATGTCTAGATAAAGTCATTCCACTTTATCTAGACATTACTATAATGTCTAGATAAAGTCATTCCACTGTGCAGGCACTATAGGTATTTATGCCTATCCCTTTACTTTAAATAGGTTGACACCCCCCACCCCCCTTTCGTTACGGTAAGTCTTGAGTAGGCTATGTTACGCTACTGGTGTGATAATCGAAATGGTATATGTAAAATAATTAATACGTAGTGCTGATCCTTTCACTACACTTTTGCTGAGTTGTTAGGCCGTCACCTATTAGTTGCACGTTAGCAAACTTAACCACGAAGTACTTCATTCATCTATCATTACTTCCGGTTGTTGTCTATAACATTGTGATATATATATATATATATCGTTTCGACAATCAATTATATCTTCTTTTGCTTATTTCTATTTAATACATATTTAATGGCTTCTGATCTTTTATTTTGAGCTGCCCATGATACAGCAATGGTGAACGTGAAAACAGTGGTTGTCTGCTGAACATCTCAGGTAGGCCGGCAGCAATACAATCTGCTGTTTATGCTCCGTGTACTTTTGAAAATGCTGATAGAATAATGTTACTGTACTCTTGAATGCAATATGCGGGTTCGACGTAAGTTGTTGTTACACGGCACAAAGAGTACATACCCAGGTTCTCTTGTGCGTGCGACAGCGACTGATGTCTACCCAGATTACCTCCTACCAACCACAGAAGGCGTCACTCCTCATGTCAACCAAGACTACGTGTATGTTGTCACAAGTCTTACTGATGGTGATGTTCATAGGAGCTTCTGGTTAGTGTCTGCTGTAACTGCAAAATTCTTGCCAACTGATATCTTCCCGGTGAACCACACGACAGATGTCTTCTCTCATGATGCCTTCAAGAGTGCACTTACCTAAGGATCATGACTGAAGTCTCCACCAACAAATATTTGCAAGTTATACACCTTCAGCCACATGCTAGCTTTTCCTATATGCGACTTCGTGCGTTCATCAGACCGGCGATGCATTCTTTTATGAGGTTGAATCATCCTCTGCTTTAGTCCTAGTGCAAGATTATAATTGCTTTTAAATATTTTAGTGATCATCTCAGTGGCTACTATTACATCATGTATCTATTAATGTACAATAACGTGCATTCTACCTGCCATGTAAGTCTAAATGGAACTTTAACCAATCAAAATGATGGTGTACCCTAGATGTTGAATATCATCATGCTTACAGAGCAGTGGCGGCACCAGCGGGGTGGGGGAAGAGGGGCAGCAGGGGCTTAAGCCCCCCCACCAGACAGGTCAAGCCCCCCCCCCCATCGGACGGAGCTCGTCGGGCAGTCGGACTGAAAAATATATAAAAATAGGTCCACACCAAGCCAACACGTGTCTGTCAGAGTGTCATTTCTGTCCTTCCAGAGGTTCCTATTCTTAAACAAAATCTCATTTGGGAGGGGGAACACCCTCTCAAACCCTTCCCCCAGCTCGGGCCTATGAGCTCAAGTTCCCCAGTCGGACAGCTCATCCCCCTCCCCTAGAAAATATATCCTAGAACCGCCACTGTTACAGAAGGATGATCATTGCAGTGACGCGCACGTACTGAGAATGTACGGAAAAGTACGGCCAATCAGAAGATGATTAAGTGCTCGATTTAATTTCATCAAATATAATTCATGAAGACAACGAAATTAATCAACGTCAATTTTCGAGACATTCTAAACATACCTATTCCTACTCACACAGACCGTTTTATTTTACCATCAAAGTATTCCATAATCATTTATTTATCTCTGACACCATATTAAATAAAATTAATTACGTTAAAGTTAAAATAGGAATGGTTGCTTTCTCGAAACCTGTCTATATCTAAATGGTTAATATCTCCGTGACAGACATGTTATTCGATCATAATGTTTACTCTGCTATCCAGGTTTAGATTGTCTGTTGATACAATTACCAAACTTTGGACTAAAATATCTCACATTAATGCAAACTCATAGAAAAGTTCATCGCAAATTGTAAACATACTTGTTCATCTAGTTTTTCTCTAATGGTACTGTAATTTATATCACATTATATTCTTGTATTCGAGTGAATAAGATTCGAAAAAAATGCATATGTATTATATATTTGCATCATTGCTTCGACCTAATTGTGAATTGAAATCTATAGGTATTAAAAAAATATAATTATTGTATTATATTGTTCAGGATTTTTAGCTCATTACATATATCTTTTTAACAAACTACAAAGGCATGACCTAGAATATTAAAACATTGGTTCTCCAATTTCCCTTCATCTGCGGTTTTACAAATATCGCTTCTGTAAATAATATATCGATTTGTGTTATCTATTTGACTAACACATTCTCCCTCTTCTTGAAATATCAAACACAAACAATTCATGTTATCATTGTCCGCCTCAGTTTGCGGTGAACACGTGTCGTTTGTTCCTTCTGAACTTCTACAGGGGTCAGTACTACTAAGATACAATGATTTTCCCCTTTCAGTACTGACAATATGGAATCGATAATAATATAATACAGTATTGCTTAAAATCAAGTAGACTTTGTACTTTGTTATGTTAAACAGTGAAGTTAAATGTGTAAGTCGCCTTTAAGGTTTTTGACGTTAAAGATAAAACGTTAATGATTTCAACATAATACTGAGTGCTAGCATTAAACAGTAATGATTATGCGAGGCCTATAGCAACCACCTTCATACGCAAATGAACTAGTAGGCCTACTATTCATTCAATCACATGATGGGAAAAGCTCTGGACTCTGACTTCAACAGATTTCTTTAAACATTTTGATATTATTTTATTTATTTTTATTAATTTTTAGTCGTAATATTTTTATTTACTGGTTTTATGTACAATGGTATTCAATTCAGCCACTGGCTGCCATTTACAAGTTCATGTGATGAAAGAATAACCTTGAATCATTCGAATCATTCATCCACAAATAAACAGATAACTCAAAATGATCAACATATTTAACTAACATTACAATTAACATGAAACGGTCGAGTCTAAAATTTAAAGAAAGCGAACCACTTTAAATTGGGAGACAATCCCCACAATTCTAATATAGGCTAAAGTTCAAACTCTGTACATTAGACAATGACTGTGTGTTAATTGTGGAGAATATAAACGAACTTGAAATGTGTGAAAGTGCAGCCATCTACCAAAAACTAAGATGATGTTGTTGTTTTCTTGTCTGCAATATTGTCGAGCATATAGAGACCTCGTTTATTTGCGCTATAAATCCATCTATTATTATTATTATTATTATTATTATTATTATTATTATTATTATTATTATTATTATTATTATTATTACTGTATTATTATGGCGGCAACAATTACACAACAAAGTTTTAAATCGATGTATTTACAGCAGTAAGACATTAACAATACCAGATAAGTGTAAAATCTGTGACAAAACAGATTTCCAGATGCAAGAAATCGAAACCGAATTGCAATTATGGTCCAAATTTTCCAAGTTTCATTCTAGTAAAAGTAGTTTAAATTGGTAATAAAATTTAAAGTAGTACTACAGCTTTTAAATTGCGTCTTCAAACCGTAGCTATGAAAACGAACATGATTACTATAAAAAAAAAACATAGACAAGTGTGCTTGACCTATATAATGTGGATTTAATTAAAGTTGTTTATAATAATGAAATAAAAAAGGTGATAGATTATTTTGATGTCCTTTTAAAATTTGTCAATTTATTTATGACGTAAAGAGAGCCATGGAACTTGATCGTGTCTTCCCAATTTTAGATAATTCTTCCATTTCTGTTTTACTCACACACTGTGAAGCCAATGTCAATACCACCTACAAGAGTACAATAATTGACAAAGTAATGTCATCATGTAAGGATAGTTTGTTTTAGTTCGCCAAAATTTGTCTCGATAAGCAATCACTTAACCTATTCCCTCTACTTTGCACCCACATCAAGCTCTTTCCATTTTAGTACTCTTGATCTACGGCCACTGGAGCAGGAGTTCAAGTTCATACAGATTTTTTTTTTTAGTGTTTTAAGTCCAAAATAATGGACCATTCCGCTAAGCCTCACCCCTTGGATACTGTTGCTAAGGTCCCACAAGACGATCGTAAATCATCAAACACGTGCGTTTGTGGGACAACATATGTGCTTGTAAGGCACGCGCGTCTACCGGGCCCTGTTCTGATTGGTCAGTTGTTAAGTTTGATCGACACTCCGGAAAGGTCGATTATGAGAAATGCTAATTAGCAACACAATAAGCTGTAACAAATTTTCTATATGCGCAATCGTAAATTTATTGAAGCCATTATATACAAATTTTTTTAACATAGTGCATCACATAAAACTTGTGAAAGACCTATGGTTAAATACGTGGCATGTCGACATCTTCCATATAATGTCGTGGAAAATACAGCAACACCTCAGCTGTGTATCTAACATTATAGACCTACAGACTATTTCATTCAAATATTAATTTGTCTATGCAGCTTTTTGTTTGACATATATATATATAGGACTGTCTCTTATACACATCTAGATGTGTATAAGAGACAGTATATACACTGCACCTCAAAATGAATGCTAAATAATAATCTTTGGTTAAGCTTGTTCACATTAATTTATATCAAGGTATATTAACATTAAAATATAATAAAGTAAAAGCTCACGACACTTGGTCTTTTGCTTCTTTATCAAATTTACATTAAAACTTTTGCATAATATACATGTTTACTTGCCCGATTGAATATAAGAAAATATACATATTTGATGATTTTACAAAATGTTAAAAACAGATTGATTCTTTTATCACAGCTGCTATACACTTTATTATTTGCATTACTATTTTCAACGTTGATCACAGCATAGCATAGGTCTGGTACACAACATGCATAAGTACTGATAACGCAATTCTCTAAGCTATTAATATGACGAGGCATCTTGCAAGAGATTGCTTTCAGCAATAACCAGCTCAGACAGTGTGCGGACTGGCAGTACGTTGAGCAAATGCTCACACAACGCCAACAGGCTTCTAACACAGTATGCAATAGGCATTTGGTAACCTATATATTTGTGTTTGTTTTGCTGATTTTTATTTTACTGGCCATAAACTATTTTACTTAAAATACTGGTACTAATTGACATGCGATCCATGTTATTGTCCTTTCTTACCAACATTATCTAAGAAATTATACAACAGTTATATAAATTATACAACATATATATAAATAATAAGGAAATGCAAAAAAAAAAAAGGCAACCTAAACAAGAAAAAAAAAAAATTATATATTCGTCTTCAATTTCATTATAATTCAGTATCATTTGTAAAAGGGGAAATATTGAATATTTAAAAGACTATTTAAGAAAAATCTGGTTTAAAAAAAAACCATCTGAATCCAATTACTGTCCTAAGCAATAAAAATGTTATCAATGCCACATATTTAAAGACATTTACAGAGAGCTTGCCAGTTACAACCAAAACAAAATCTTACTAAAATTCTAAAAATAGATTGCAATGCCAGAAGTATTTTACAAATTTGAAAGACTAAAGATGTAGTGATATCTAAATAAACAGGTGACATTCCTTAATATGGTCATGATGACATCACATCATGACCATATATAGGCCCATCATGACTATATATATGGGCATAAAACACTTTTTAATAATTTGACAGCTTAAGCATAAGCAAATATTGTAACATCCTCTCAACCATATCCTACACACACATCCTACCTCCTCCTATCAAAATCTCACTCCTTACTCCACTCTGTCAGTATTCACAATGCTCTCTTTCTTGTATCACTTACACATCAAGTCAAGTAAAAATACCCATTTCCCCCTCCTACCCTACTCCCAGTGTGCTCATCTAGCTGTCAACACATGCTACCTTGTGCTTCCACCATTTGTGATTGCTAGTCCATGTTGCTGGGCATTGATTTACCAAGATGATACAACCGGAGGCCTAAACAGAGGTGGCTGAAATGTCACATGGTGATTTGAGTTGATCTTGTTGATATTGGCATAGTGCTGATGATGCGGTGACATGAATGGATTAGGTTGAGTAGTGCTTACTCTGATTGTACCACTCTATAAAAAAAAAAAATCATGTAGTTATCTAGTCACCAAGCTAGTATGAAATAGCACTGATCAATCTGCAGTTACTGTGGTAACAATGAATTTACTACTAACATAACCACCATCAACACACATCAAGAAGAACAACATTAGAAAATACAGTAGCCTCCCTACTAACACTCTATTCTAATTAAAAGGAGGTGAATGTCCAGGGGCGTACCGTGGGGGGGGGGGTCGATGGGTGCGGTCGACCCCCCTCCTTTTAAAGAAAGTGCCCTTTAAATATGCTCGCTTCACTCACAAATAACGCACCCCGTGAATTCTGAAAGCTTCGCTAAATTGCTCCGAGTTCAGCTTGCCCCCAGCGCTTTTGTTTCGACCCTCCCTTAGATTTTTCACCGTACGCCCCTGATGTCTATATTATGTTTACAATATTTCAGAATGCTTTCCTGAAACCAGAAGATCCACTGATAGATTTCAGAAAGTCTACAAACTCCAAGCATAGAAATACATACCATTGGGTTTCTTATAAATCATTAATACAGTAATTAATGGTTGTCAGATTTTATGGTATATAGTACACAAATACTATATTGCAATCAATCTTCAATAAGTGTTATTTAATCAAACTATAAAATTGTGATCAGTTAAGTATAGGTCATATGTTGATATTTGACAGAGACATGCACACATGAGGACTATGTTACCTTCTTAGGTGTTGTTCTCAAAGATTTTCGTAGAGGTGCAGATCCTGTACGAGTGGCACCAGCTCCCCCACTAGCATAAAGAACACCAGGCGTACGGTCTGGAACTGGCTTCGAGTTCTGGGATCGAGACTGACGGCACAAGCTACTTCCATCATTTCCTAATGTGCAGACGCGTGCTTCTCCAGTGGCCGGATGTGTACAATTACGGGGGTACTGTCCAGTTGGGTGTTTGGCTGGTGATAATGACGATTGTCCTGTTTTCTTCCTAAAATGTTGGATTGGATTGGATTTATTCTGGGTAAACACCAAGGACCACCCACAAAAATCTGAAGAAGACGTATTTCCGGTGGGGTTCATCTAGTGGTGATTGGGCAGTACACCATAGCGTTCTTCAACATGCACATAAGCCATATTGCACATAGGACCAATGACTTAAACACCTGATCCGAATGATGGTATGCAGAAACTTGCATTTCAGCCCTCCAGCTGAAATACAAGGACAGCAGGGATGGGAATTGAACCAGGGACCGAGAGATTACCTCGGTTCAGCGCAAACACAGTGGCTACCACCAGTTTAGCTGACTGAGCTAAGCTGCCTCTCAGAAATAATAGCTATGCATTTTATTTCCAAAACCTAAACTATAAAAATTTGTATGCTTAAAAGTTCATAACAATTTATTACTTTAACTGTAAACAATGTTTATTCTCAACGTGTTTGGTGCTAGAGACATGCACTGGAATATATATTAAATGGAAGACACAGAAACAATTAGGACAATATGACGAGCATGGTGGTCAGCATGGATCATCCAATCAATTTAAGCCCTGTCCAGACTATCAAATTATATTTGACCAAAAAATGTGACATGCCTAAATTTGGGCATGATGACATCACATCATGACCATATATAGGCACATCATGACCATATATAGGCACATCATGACTATATATGGGTATATAACAGTTTTTTTGTCAAAGAAAATGTGATATATAGTCCGAACAGGGTTTAACACAATATACAGTAATACAAACCTTCTCAGAACGGTTGTTGGTCTCCCATTGATCTGCACCTCAAAGGCAGGGTTAGGATTTGACTCGCCACTCTTGTCATCATCGGCAATATTCTGATCAATGGATGAATCACTCTGCTGATCATAGCTCTGTGCAACATTGCTGAATCGATGAGCAGCAGTAGTCCAAGCCACTGCTTGTCCATTAGGCTTGCATAGAATGGTGGTGCATTCTGGGCCAGTGCCCCATTTGTGTTGTTCCTTCCACAGGAGGTCTGTCGGTGGATTGTGCTTTGCTAAACTTGAGGCTGCCCATATCTAATGATAATGACATTAGCAATAATTATAACAACAATAACAAAAAAATCATAGTATTACTATTATCATCATTATCATAATTATAATTATCATTTATCATTTCTGTTATTATTATTATCATCATTATCATTATATATATTTCCATAACATTGTCAGCCATTATTCCTATAAAAAAATAATCAACGAACTGAATCAACAGATTGAAATAATTAATACAACTATAATAATAACAATAATAATATAATAAATTATAATATTATTTTCATCATTCATCATAATTCTGTTTCTTGCTATGATTACAGTAGCAAGTGGGAAAAAATATATTAACGTTTATCATTATTATTAAGATCATTTCTGTTATCATTATTATCATCATCAAGTTATATTTATTATCATACCATTGTCAGTCATTATTCCTATAAAATTAATCAATGGACTGATTGAAAATACAAATATATAATTTCAGTAATTAAAAAAATCAATCAATCAATCAACATATTTTAAAAAGTGATCATCCCCAAATACAAGCAAATCAAAACTTACAGTAATGGTTGACGAAGGCCTGAATTTTGTACGCGGAGGAAACCTGTAGACAGCGACTGGATGTCCACCTACGTTCTGCTGGATCATATATCCGCCCACTTCCTCCTCATATGCTGCAGATGTGTTAAAAAGACGTACAAATCGGCCGTCAGGATTTATCTCCAGGAATTTGATGTTGCCAGTCGTACTGATAAAAATTAAGTTTTTTGGTAGTTATATGCAAAGAACGAAATGTACTAAAAATTCAAATGATGCCTAGAAACATCCCACTTCTATGTTTTCCTTGCTGCTTCAAAATGTAAATATATTGTCATTTAATTCGACATACACTGGTGGGTTGTCACTAATTTCCTGTATTGTGTGAGTTACGGTCATCAACATATGGAACTCTCTGTCATGCCCTGTCCAGATTATCAAATTTTCTTAGGCAAGAAACTGTTGTATGTCCATATATAGTCATGATGTGCCTATATATGGTCATGATATGATGTCTTTATCACCATATTTACGCATGTCACATGTTTTTGTGAAATAATATTTGATAGTCTGAACAGGGCTTAAGGAACTCTCTTACATTTACATGCAATTCACATTCACCTACCTATCCCCGGGTCCTCGGTTCAAAACCCACACGATTTTTCCACACGACTAAAAAACATCTCCATAAATACTTAGGTTTTGAAATGAGACTAAGTTTATAAAGCCTAACATATATTCAAATATTTAAGAAATATCAGCCAATCTTTTAGGGTAAGCTGGAAGGGTGACCCTCTGTTTAATGATAATGGTCAAAACAAGGGGGAGTGTCTTACCTTGATGTGGCAGTGGTGTAGTCATGTGACATTGTCGGAACCCTGTAGACACCAGGTGGACTAGACTTTGGATGCAGGCGTGGATAAATCAAAGTACTTTTCTGTAGATCTCCAAATATGGAATCAAAGTAGTCCTTGCCTTGCCCCATTGTTGCAGGCACAGACACAGGCCGAACTATAAAGTGAAAAATGTCATAAATAATCAGAATTTATGGGTGATGTTATCAAAAAAAATTGTCTATTAGAATGTATGGGAATGCTTCGTCTACCTCCTCAGATGTCTTAAAACATAATTTTATCAAACAATGTTGATCTACGAACACTATTTTAATCAAATATTTTGGAAATTAATCAATTTTTTAGCTGATCAATTGGTACCTTTAGTATGTTTTAACAACAAAAAGAAATAGAATATTAGTTATATATTCTTAACTTATATGAAATTAATGATCAGGTTAAAAAGAATAACCCTATTTTAATTAATTTTAACTTACTTTCATATGTTTTTGTACAAATGGGAACTTGTAAAACTTGATTAGAAAAATGTGAGTAACCATTCATAGACTTAAAAATATATGAATAAAGTGATAAAAGTGACTATGAAAAATATGAAGTGATAAAAATACTACGAAAAATACGAATAAAGCGGTAAAAATGAGAAATGTTCTCAAACCACATACTCTTTGATGCTTTCGCAGTGTAGCTTGTTGATAGGCCTGTTTTATTCTCAAAATAGCTGCTTCTTACTGGACTCACTGTCTTGGGTCGTGGGAGGTAGGTGTTTGTGCTCGTAGCTGACAGAGTCGTGGGTGCATAGGTAGAGGCTGGTGGTATATGACGCAATCTGTAAACAGTCATTAAAGCATTCTAAAATACTAAAATATTCATTTACAAGTACTGAAAATTCACCCAATCAGGCAAGTGTCTGAGGTTTCAAATGGCATAGCTACTTCCAATGAAGTATATATTTATATATTGAATTCTATTTTTGTAAATTTTTTTAGCTCAATATGGAGAGTAGACCATCAACAAAAACTTCCTTACTTGTTCTCTTCTTCTTCCACCAGAACCTTCAGCGCTTCTATCTCAGCTCTCATAGGCGCCTTCCCGTCTGTCGCTAACGTTATTTCTCGCATTTTCTGCACTAAGCTGTCCTGCATGTCGCGGAGTTTGTCTTCAAGGGCGCGTACATGTACAGCAGACCGTTCTCTCTCCATGTCCATTTGCGTATTCATACTGTTATTCATTTGCTCCACAGCCAACACCTAAAAAAAATTAGTGTCCATTTGTATTTAAGATTGAAACATATTCATTGCAACAAAAACTAAAAATGTTTTATGAAGAAAAAAAACATATTTTTTTTATGTTAGGCCTGTTATTTATCCAATATACATAAAAAAAAAAAATCTAAATGATTGTTGCATTTAATAGTCTGGAACCCACAATATCACAAAATACTAATTACATCCCTTTCTTACCCTGTTTTTAAGTTCTTGGTTGCTGTTGTTAAGTGTGTCAACTTCCTTGACTAAACGATTGTTCTCATCAGCAAGCTGAGCCATGTTGGTGGCATCTAGATCCATTTGATCACGAAGCTCTTGAAGCTAAATTAAAAAAAAAAAAGAACAAATCTTGTACACAAATTCTGATAAGGAGGTAATTCTTTCTTAAAATCGAATCATGTTGGCATGTAGTATTGCATATATTATTATTGTCTTATTGAGAGTCATGCTAGGGGTCACAAGTTTCTATCGAGTTGCGGGAGTCTACCGCAAATCGGAGCAACCTCCCACACACTCGCAAGCAAGCAAGAAGAAATCTCCTAAAAGTTATCCTGTCTTCCACAAATTCATGATACAGTATTTGTATAATTTTACTACAGTACTGTATTTCTTGTTGAAGTCAGCTGTGGGTAATACAAATAATGTATTGTCAAAACAGTATTTGTTTTTATAATAATTATAAGAAAAATTATTATGAATTATACATCTCAATTAATGTGAAATATCACTTGACTTGAACAAGATGATGATTTTGCTAACTTCAGTAATCAAAAGGATTTTTATTTGTTAATGATAAGCTGTATAAAATAATACTAAATGTTGCAAGATACCAATTCACTTGAACTTTGGAACAGTCCTAAGTAAACATACATTAATCACAATTCCAAACACCTTAGCAAGACAATGTGCAAATAATGATAACTTATTGAACTTCTGCAATACAGAGCGACAATGAATGCTACCAAATTGCAATAATCACAAAAAAAATAATTAGTCAATAGAGAATTTTTAAAATAGTCTGCTGCCCTCTAGAAAAAAAACTTTTTATCACCTATAGAGGGAGGCATTTAATCCCATAATAAATGTTTCTTGCTCTTTGATAGAATTAATAGAATTAACAGCATAAAATTGGAACTCATAAAGAGGCAGAAATTGCAATAGCTGAGATAAACCCTATAATTTTTCAGAAACAAGGAGTTTCATACTTGGATCTCTACTAGAAACCTTACGCAGCTCCTTTGGTTTAGATCCGTTGGATTTATGGACCCTCCTATTGGCAATTTTCTGGAGCCATCACTGGCTAACAACTCGTAGGTTTAAATTTGACAATCTTACATTTCTATGGTATGCAGCTTCCGATTCATCTTTGAACCTCTGCAATTCCTCTGCTGCAGCTCGCTTTACCCTGTCCAGCATCTCTTGTAAGGTGTTATCAGGCCTGGCCAACTCTCGCACCTTAGCCTCCAAAGCCAGAATGTGATTTGCTTTGTCATCTAAAGTGTGTTTCAACTCTGCTATTTCTTCATCATTCACTTTTTTCTGAAAGTCAAGTTTGCCCAAAAGTATCTGGTTCGAATCTTGGGCCTCTTTCCGTAAAACACATTCTTGGTCAAATCTGAAGAAGTAATAACTACAACTTATTTGAGTCTTTTAAATTGAGTTTTGAGAATTTCCCAGTTTCTTGGTAGACAACATTTTTAAATCTAGAAAATTTAGATGTTATAAATGATATAGCTCCCTCAATCTTGAAGGAAATGTACAGTATGTGATAAAACAAAACTATTTTAAATTTATCATAAAGCACTAGTGTGGAACTTGGCATTGTATGTATCAAAAACATTGAAACCAATAGTGAAAGATGTAAGATATATGGTTAGAATCTTTTTGAGATGTGGGTGTGTAGAAGAATGGTGAAAATTTGTTGGATTGAGTGGATGACAACTGAAGAGGTACTATGAGATTGATAAGAGATTTAGAGCACTGATTCCGGTTATCAGAAGAAAGAAGAATTGGATTGTTCACATCTTAAAAAGACCCATTCCCAGCAAATTTTCACTATAAATGAAGAATATTTTTTAGAAAAAATGCATATGCATTACACTAATTATTATAAACCATGGATAATACTGGCATAAATTTTAGTTTTACGCAATTAAGGATAAAAAAATAAGAAATATAGACTATTTCTCATAGGAGATTACCATTTTCTCAACGTCTTCTTCATTACTAGGCAAATTCAGAAGTTGTAGATTGAATCTCTTGTAATACTCTCGCTTTTGTGTATACTTTATACAGTCAAGCTTTGGAGGCAGGCAGGATAATTGTTTCGCAAACCTGCCACATTCTAATCTTTTTTTTTTTTTATCTCGCCCACCAATGCCATAAACTCTCATGAAGATATTTTAATTCATCCCACAATAATTTAAAAAAAAAACATTAATTAATCTGTGTCACATGTGTATACACCGCCAAATACGATATTGAGCAACAAATTGGCCCTTCTCTAATGAGATTAGTTTTTGTACTTTGCATCTCACACGCTGCTGTCGACTGTGTGTGTGGAACACAAAAATAAAATGAAATTTCAGTCTTATTTTACATATTTTTCATGTTTAGGAATGTCTAAACTAGCAATTCCATATTATATTTACAAAAATAGACAGCAGCGTCCGAGATGCAAAGTACAAAAACTAATCTCTGTGTTGCTCACGATCGTATTTGGCGATGTATACAGTTCAGTAACACAGATTAATACAGATTTTCCTAAGAATTGAAATTTTGCCAGGAATGGGGCTTTAAGGAGCGAGAACTTATTAAAAGAAGTTATAAGAGAACAAATGAAAGGGAGGAGACCAAGAGGTGCAAAAAGAATAGGGATTGCATATGATCTTAAGAATAAAATGCTGAAATGAAGTGAAGAACTGAGAAAAATACCAGTGGAAAAGTTGGCAGCTAAGGGCTTGCAGAAAACCAAAAAAGTCAATAAGCACAACTGCCCCTAACTTAGTTAAAAGATAAAAAGTGGAGCCACAAACCCATGTTGAAGATCATCAGACGTTCTCTGCAAGCTTGCATAATCATCCTCTACGTCCCGCAGTTTGCGTGTTAAGTCTGCAATGTTGGCATGTGATGTTTGCAGGTCAACCTCTTTCTGGGAACATAGGCGTTGCATACTCGCCAAATCATCATTCAAACCTCTGCATCTTTGATTTTCTACAGACAACCTGTCAAATATTGTTAATTATTTAAATGCTATATTGCAACACTTTATCAAGAATAATATTATGCAGTTACTGGATGATGTGAAAATTAAATAATTACAATTAAATCATAAGAAAATCATTAGAATGATAGTTAATGATTGGAATAAAAAGGTGACTTGCTTAAGAAGTTTTTCAGAAACTAGTTATTTGGAAAAACAATTCTCTTCTAATGGCTAGGTCACTAATTAAAACAGTGTTCTCAAAACCCAACTCTAATTGCTAAATATTTGCACACAAATAACCATCAATATCTATATTCTTTTACTTTAAATGTAATTTTTGGGGGGTTTCCAAAGCCTTGTCAGACATTTAAATAAATGTAATAAATGATAATTAAATAATTATTTGTGTATTATCAGCTAACTCACCTGTCTTGTAAGTCTGTGGCCATCTTTTCATTGCGGTATGCCTGGGTATCTGCACTGGTTCTGGCAGCCGATGTGTCTTCTAGTTGGTGCCGCAAATTGTTCAGCTCCTTCTCGTACATATTTTTAATGACCTCGATTTCATCTTCAAGCATCCGTATGGAATTCAGTAATGCAGATGAATCGACCTAAGGAGATGACCAAGAATCTTTCATGTTACTCCGCAGTATCATCAACCTGTGAGCTTACGGTATTTATGGGCTTTTTTACGACAGTTTTAATTAAACTTACAACAGGAAGCCTACGCTTGTTTGATGGCAGATATGTTTCCATCTGACATCCTTTGGTTCTGCCATTATTGCAAAGCCATGTTGGAAATATATATCCAGAGTAAGTCAACTCAGTGATTGACTTAATTAGAAGCTGGTATCTCATATAGAGCTAATGAACTTAAACAATATTTTTTTCCCTTACTTTTAAAAAGAAAAGACGTTTGACTACATGACAATATGACTTAAATTTAGGAATCTTACCATATTTGCTTCTTCTCGCATCTTGCGAACTTTCGCAATGTAGGCTTTGTACCTTTCATTTAGATGCTGTAGCTCTGCCTTCTCCTGTTGCCGTGATAACGGCGCAGGTGGGCTCACAGTACTCATTGCGTAACGATGTGTTCTGAATGAGAAAAGTATATTTTTTGAATAAATAAGCGATTACCAAGATACATGGTATATTATGCTGAGTACTGTATATCATCCTGAAATTTGATCATCTTAAACTTTACATTTAAAATCTTTAGAATTTAACTGTATAATTAAGCATATAAAATACAAAACAGAAATAATAATACAAATCAAAGACTTAGTAAAAAACCAAGCACAGCAAAAGCATCAATAAACTTAAGTGTGTATCTTCAACATCACTGATAAAACATAAGAGTATGATTGTATATATAACTTCAAATTCAGCGGTAGCTGAAAATTCTTTATCATCACAAAACATATGGCCAATAATATTCTGTAGCTGAGCCAAACAAACCAGCAAATTAGCATTAGTAGATAACAAAACATCCAGGAATTTTTCATCTGCACATAATCATCTCGGAAGCATAATATAAATTATCAGGAAACGAAAGTCATGATGATAAGTGAAAAATATCAATACCATAGTTTAATGAACACTCAATTAATACATCATTACATCATAATAAGTTATGTTAAAGATACCAAGCCCTCCTGCTGCACCCCCACCCACCAGCCTACTACAAATAAGACATTTAAGAAATCACCAAACTTATATATAAATACACAATACGCTTACATATATCTTCTTGATGACATGTTTGCTCCTGCCTGCTGTTACAACAATCAAGACAAGAAATACAGTAAAGTATTGAAAAGATAAATTTCTGATTAATTGTAATATTGTGATCCCCTTAGATAAGTTGCCATGACACTGTCCTGACAACTATGACAACAACTCTTGTGTGATAGTGATACGCAAAAGTGCAAAATTGACATTTCGATTCTTCATTCTTTAATGAAAAGAATGGTATGAATGAATGATTATGAAATAATAATGGACAAGTTACAAAGAGCACAATTTGATATTTAATGATTATTGATTACTTCTTCAAAAAATATGAAATCAATAAATTTGCAGATCTACTTTTCTTTCGAATAATAATGATGGATTTGAGAGTATTTTTTTTTTTTGCTTAGTATGTTTTTGGTGGGGGAGGGTGAGGATAAAAGGGGAGCAAACTTTTTATTGGGAACTGTTCCCCCCCCCCCCCTTTTTTTCAATTGGGATATACATTGTAATTGGTTGGAATTAAGAATAGAAATAATCATTACAATAAATCATAAGCTATGTGTCTTCTACACACTTCTAACATTAGATTTTATGATTATTATGACAACTGTTTATTATTATTATTATTATCATTATTATCATCTGAGTAAAGCATTATTATAATCATTAATTTATGCATGAATATCATTATATGAAATAATCTATTGATGATTCTAATTTGTCTTTAGATAGCTATGCAATAATTTCGCAAATAAAACACTTTGTTTCATAGCACCATAAATCAATAGACTGGTTAATTATCTACAAAATACATACAGTATGTATGAGGTCTTGCACGACAACTTTTTAATGTTACAGAAAGTACAAGATAAAATGCTCTCATGAACAATCATCCCTATATTGTACCAATCAATATACTAACAAAACTAACAAAATATATATTAAACTATTGTAAGATATGGAACACTTTTAATTCTCAAAATATTCCGTGATGAGTTGCACAAAATCTTTCAGACAGATCTTGTCTCTTCATAACCAATAATCAATCTGTTATTGATCTCATTCTATAAGTGTAGAGCAGACGATCAATATATCTTATTGTTATAGGTGATAATATTAGATGCATCAACAGACAATTTTACTCTCAATAATTGTTTTTTCTTCAGTACCAATATTTAAATTATTTAAAATAAACTGAGAATTTTGAACTATATTTCAGCAGCTATTCTGACTCTATACATTACAGTGTAAAATCACGGATGAGTAAATATTCAGTGTCTTTCAGACAGATCTTGGCTCTTCATAACTAATAATCAATCAATTATTGATCTCATTCCATAAATGAAGAGCTGACATTTAACATATCTTATTATTACAGGATTAGATGCATCATGACAATATATAATCTCAATAATTGGTTTTCTTCAAGTAACAAAATTTGAATTATTGAAAAAAAAATGGTAATTTTGAGCTATATTCCAGCTGTTCTGGAATTATATACTTTAAAATTTAAAATTGGGGATGAATAAATAACTCTTTCCAGTATTATGGCCATATAATCTTATTTAAATGTTTTTTTAAACACTTTTTGAGTCTGGTGAGTGATGGCTGAAAGTTGGGTAGATGTACCATAACCCACACCCCTTCCGGTGCCGTCAGGAGAAGATGAAAGAAAATATACACAATGTAAATGTATGCTTTAATACCGTTCTTTCTTTTTCATAAATTATTTTATACTTACATAGCAACATCAATTGCATATTTTACTAAGAGTTTAATTTCCATAAAGTTATAAATTTGATGTAAATGTATATTTTCGAAATACCATGTTAGACTAGGATTTGACCTCTAATGGGGTCCAGTTTCAAGACTGACAAAGCCAAGTTGTTTAGTAGAAGGAATGACGAGCAGTTATGGTATGTGTAATCAATGTAACAATATTATGCTGTGTCAGGCATATTGTTGTACATTCATAAACTTTTGACATTTGAAACTACAATGACATTACTTGATGTAGATTATTACAATATTACAATGAAATATTTGTTTTCGTTATTTCTGCAGAACGATATTATTTCTTATTATTGTGTATATTTTTTGTACAGGTCTCTCTCCAATTAAAGACCCCCAATTAAATACAACCTCCAATTAAAGACCACATTTCCAGAGACCCGAGTGAATGCCTATCTTTTATCTTTATGATACAGTAATAATTTTTTTTCTAATTAAAGACCAAAGCTGCTAAAAGACTAGGAAATCCCTGGTCCAAATATAGTGGTGTTGGATTGGAAGGAGACATGTAGTTTACAAATTGGCTGAGTACAGAAGAATTGAACATCATTATTTAATGCAATGTCCTGAGGGCACATCCTAATTCAATGGACTACTCTAGATCAATAATTGAGAATGTATGTATCTGTAAATTATTCATGGTCGTTTAGTATTTAGGTATTGATTTGTTTGAAGCATTCGCTAATATAGTATAATTTGATACGCAACTTGATTTTTATTAGTAGATTAAAGTTTTATGTTTCATACTCCATCAAACTATGTTTGTATTTAAAATAATTATTTCAGTAATAGTATCCTTTACAAACAGTATAAAATGGTTTGTATACAAAATAATAATAGGCTACACATAATAATTAATATATGAAGTCACTACTACTATGGTAAGATTGATTTAATCCAGTATTGCGCATGTGTATATCTGGGTAAACCTAGACATCTTTCAGTCATGTATTAGTCACGTACCAATGACACATTTTTGTGTGTGCGTTTAAAGCTTAGTTTCCATACAATTGCTACACATTCACTACAGCGTTTTCACTGCCTCCTTGAACTGCGTAGCTCTTTCCGACACAATCGAAAATGCTCCCTGATTCAACTGACCAAACAGCATCGCCAAAGGAGTCGGCAATAGTGTGTAGCCATTTTTATGGAAATAAGGCTTAAGTAAGGCATAATTATAAAAATATTGTTATTAACCAATGGGAATAGTTTTAGAGTTTAATAGGAACAAATTACTTCTTGTCGTCTGATTTTATAACAGTTTTTTTTTAGTTTTATTCAGGGGTGGGCGTCAGTCAGTCCATCTTATGTTTGATGAATAAATAACCAATCCAATCAATCAATCAAACAACTTCACAGATGTGCTGCTGTATGTATTATACTTTGTCGACAAAGGTGCTGTAGTGGTGTGTGCTTTATAGGCCTAGGCCTAGCCTACTTTACCAATACCATCATCTACCCTGATCATTATGACACTTCCCAATCTGGAACAATATAATTTAATAAATATTCATTGACAAACCTGATGAAACACTTTACAAATGAAGGCTGATTTATTAGCAGTGAAAGCTGGAAGCTGATTACATATTTATAAACGCAATGATGGTAATTTTACCACTCTGAACTATTTCTACACACAAATAAGTAAGTCAGACATAGGCCTAGGCCCTGCCTTTGGATTGCATACTTGGCCCTCCTAGGTCCTAGTGTACAGTGTATTTTGTTGGGCTCTGTTGGGAACTTTTTTTGTTGGATCCCGCACTGTGTTGTGCTTTGTTGACTGACTAGCACTAAAATAAATTTTAAATAGCCTAGCTCGGCCTAGTAGTAGTAGTAGTAGGAATCACCAGTAGTAGTAGGGGGGCCTAGTAGTAGTAGTAGAGAGGCCTGTGTGTGAGGCTTTCCTTTGGCTAACCGTTTAAAAAAATATTCACAGACACTTACCCAATATAACTGACTTCTGTAATCTTATAATTTAGAAATAGGCCTAATTAGTACTCGTTTTTGCACTGGCCGAAATAGTACCCGGTATCACCACCACATGCCTTCAGTTTTCTATTCGCATGATGCACACTTCGGAACTCCTCCTCTCAGTTGTTTTGTGTTGCAAGTTGCTAAGTGAAAAAGGTCACATTTTAATTAGAAACCCGGAACCATAATTGAAAACCGGAACTACACTTCGCGAGCAGGGTCGTATAGAGGGGTCGCTCATCACAAATAAACTAGAAACGGTAGTCCACTACGTTACGTCTCTTATGGGAGATATAAGCAGAATACAAACAACATTTTGGTATGTTTTGTCTATTTTTGTGCATTTTTATTTCATATATATTATTACTATTATTTCACATACAAGAAGTCTCAGAAAAAGAATGAATGAGTTTTACTATACGATTTTATTTGTGGATTTCGCATTCGCCTTGTCAAAGTTGGGTTTGTTTATTTTTCATGGTTCAATCATGTTTCTTCGGGGCCAATCTCTGCTGCTGCGTAGGCGAAGCCTCTCTGTGCAGTGTAGTCCGTGATGAATGCCTAACTTATTAGGCTATTCCCATTTTTTCGTAGCCTTAGCTTAATATGATTTTTAATACTGACTTTCTGTCTCTATGATTCTATATACATGTATATGTAGAGATACCTTATTCATTATATTATTAATATTTAATACTAGTATTATTAATCTTCAATTTCCTTCTCTTCTTTGTCCTTTGTGTTTATTTACTGTAAGTTGTATTCAATTACATTTTTATTCCAAGAAGTTAAAATCTTCTCTGCAAGTAACTGGTTGTGGTTACCATGGAGTGTGGTTCAAACTACTGTACTACAAAATAAGGTCATTTCTGTAATCTTCAACTTTTATTTTTTAAGTCAGTATTTACTATAGTGCAGTACTAATATTGTCATACAGTTTTGTTTTATCAGTAGGAAGAGCCCCTTCTCTGAAAGAATGAACACTTCAGTGGCGGCTCTAGGATATATTTTCTGGGGGGACTAAGTTGTCCGACAGGGGGAACTTGAGCTCGTAGGCTCGAGCTGGGGGAAGAAGGGGTTGAGAGGGGGTTCCCACTCCTTAATGAGATTTTTTTTTTAAAGAATATCAATCTCTAGATGGCTGAAAATGGCACTCTCAGACTGTGATAGACATGTGTTGGCTTGGTGTGGGCCTATTTTTATATGTTTTACATTCTGACTGCCCGACGAGCTCTGTCCGGCGGGGGTTGGGGGCTTGACCTGTGGTGGGTTGGCTTAAGCATCATTCTCATTTACATTTCTGGCCTTATCTACCCGTCTAACAGCAACCCGTTTAAACTATAGTACCTAGCCACCCCTATTCTTCAATCTTAGATCTATCATTGAATAAGATAAAAACTTAAGTGTCCCCTTAACTAATGATAGTGATTGATTAGGGTTTGGATTAATGTGGCACCGGTAGTAAGTGTCCCGGCAGCTATAGTGTATAGTGAAGAACACTGGCTAAATCAACACCAGAAGTTTAAACCGTATGTAAGAGACACAGACAGAGGGGCGAATAAAAATCAAGGTAAATCAAGTTTTAGAAGATGTATTTTCCCTTGTTTTTCAGAGAGAGTCTCCTTAGGGGTTCTAATGAAAAGTTATTCTACAGTCCTATATTGAACCTAAGTGCCTTACTATTTATCATTGATTTATTGAATTAATTAATAATATTATTATTAACATTATGCCTACTTTTTTCCCCTGTAAAATATGGGCATAAAAATAAATTAAAATGCCTTCTTGTCTGAGAGAGTACAGTACATGCGATACATAAGTTTGAAAAATAAGTGAATAAATATATAATTTTAATCATTAATTTTTATTGAAATATTATTTAATAGTTGAATAGTCATGCATGTTTTACTAGTCTATGCTTAATTAAGACAGCTGACCGTGATTGTCACTGTATGTAACAATACAGAATGTGTAAAGCAGGCTCATTAAACTACTGTATATCTCGATAAGGTGGCTTCTCCCAGCTTGGTTTCTCGGTATATTTATTGTCATTTTTAATGAGGATAGCCTTCACTATAAGCAATCAGTGAAACATGAAATAAAACCACATTCATATCAATAATATCAGTAACTACAATACAGCTTCATCGTTGTTCTAAAAATAGATTATAAATAAATCGTGCAAAGCTCTGACAAGCAGTTCAGTCATGGTGGATTATAAACGTTTCTTAGCTAACTAACAGTGCTTAGCATGCATACTTTTTTTCAAGAGAATAAATACTGTAGGTTTTTATATAGTGGTCTATACAACTAAGTCTCAGAGTGCTTTTCCACATTATGAATGTCTTCTTCTGCTTCCCCCACACATTTATAACACAATCACATTTAAATTAAGAGTACTGGGTTTTGTAACTGTTTAGTACTATACAGATGTCCTCCTTTAAGTGACAAGTCTCATAAATTTGTTGTTGGTTGGGTGCTGAAATAGTAAAACAATGCCAGGTTTAATCCATGCTGTTATAAATCATAATTTAGACTTATTCTGTGGAGGATTATTTTGCCCAGAAACGTGAAAGTTGTAGGTGGGCCTCTGTGTACAGAATGATTGGGTTGTTGACATTCAGAATTTATTTACAGTTTGCAGTAGGGGAATGAGGTGGAAATTATATTATTTTTACTTAAAATTGTAGTTCACTTGGTTCAATGTTCTATAGAGAAATGACATTTAAAGTAGAAACTCCTTAAGTTTATTACATTATTGGATTACTGACACACTTTAAGCTATTAACATTCTTTTTCTGAACTGTTTAACCTGCATACTATCATTTTTTGACTATGTTTATTTTCATAAAGGGCTAGTACTGTACAGTACCAGTCGTCTACGATAAGAACTTGCTAATTTTATACATTATACTGTAATACGGAGATACAGATCTATAAAAGTTAAAGGTGATTTTATTTACCATCAGCAAATATTAATCATTTCAAATAAAAATAAAATTTCATTTTTGGCCAATTAGCGCACCCACCACCACAAAAAATGGAAATTTCAGGAAAAAAATTAAAGTTTTTTTAAAATTTTTATTACGCCCTCCGCTGCCTTGAAATGTAATAATGTGTACATGTTTTTCAATATTTAAAATCCATTTATTTCCATTTTTGCATTATGCTTGGTAGAAAGACAGAAATATATTGTACAGTAATATGTGTTTGTCTATAAATGGTATTACAGTATGTATTTCAAAAAAAGGGAAAAAAACATACTGTTGGGATGAGATTGGCTTCAGTTATTAAGAAAGTTATGAATTGAATGGACAAGTAAAAATCAGTCAAAATACAATACCCTCTCTCATCTTACTAAAATAACAGTTTACATGTAGATTTGCTTCAAAAAAAGCCTAACCTCTTGTTTTCAGAGTTCATCGAAGTAGATAAAATTCCCATTGAAAGCGCAAGAAATTCATTTGACTTTAACTATCCCTGGTTAGCTGAAAACCATTGCACAAACTAACACCTACGATGCAGGCTAGGACTTGCATGCATTTTGGATTGTATAAAGTTAATCATCTGTACAAATAAATAGAATAACAAAACCAATGAAAATTGTGGTATCAGTAAAGCTAACTTAGTAACACTGAACTACTTGTTGGCAGTGTTTTCCGATGAGGGAGAAGATCTGAAATGATAAATGATGTTTGCTAACTACAGAAAATATTTAGAGATCTCTGCCTACATTCATTCATTTCACATTTATTCAATCAATGGGGAAAAAAAACATTGTAATGATGGGGATATTCTTTAACACTTAACAGTGATTTAATATGGGTAGATATACAATATTTTCAATAAAATAAATAGTAAAAAAAAAGATTAATAAATTTTACTATACTGTTTGAAGGTTTGCATGGTGAATATTAAATGCTTGTTGTACACCACATACGTAAATAGTTCTCAGAACTACAGTATCCATGTGGTGTACCTCAAGCATTTAACATATTGAACTATACTATTAGTAGATTTCTGTTACCTTTAAAATAAATTCTATCAAACAAAATAATAATTAATAAAAATATTCACTTTTTTTCATAATATAACATACTGTAATAGCAAGTAAATACTTATAATGTGATTAAATGAATATACAGTATATCTAAAAAGAATGTGAATAAAAATATTCCATCTGCTTTAAAAATTGTTTTTCTTTTTTGTGCACGAACCTATACTGTACAGTATATCCTGCCTTTGTTGGAACGATGGCACTGAATATAAACAATGCACAAGATGTCTTCGTTGTATAAAATATTAAAACCAAGCAATGAGTCATACATACATAACAATAGTCTACAAAAATATCAGTTACACCTATATCATGATTTTTTTAAAACTCCAAATTGCATTGCAACTGTATTAGTACACACAAAGGAACAATGATAATAAAGAAACAATAGATGTGATAAACAGTACTTTTACAAGGGAATTGTGAAGACTTTCTTGGGAAAGAGTTTTGCTGTGTCTGAAATCTTGTAACATTCAATCAGTATCTCTTAAACCAGGTGTGTTTTTTCTATATAATATAATGAGTATATTAACCTTTTTAATTTTTAAAATGTTTACATTTGCATATAAGTTGTATAGTATTTAAACGTGGAGAGCCTCTTGACAGTGTTATTTTATTTATTATAGGAAATCCTGCTTGTTGGTTTACTATTGTATTGTTCTGTTATATGTCATGTGAAAAGAGAAAATAGATCATACTGTCTGATATGATAATGCTGTGTGAGGAACAGTATGATATAAAACTGTTGAATTATGAGTAATCTATGTTTGTTTCTAAAAATATTCTAAATCTATATGTTAAAAACAAGTCCTAAAGCACTGACCAGATAATGAGTAATAGTTTTTTTTTTTATTTCGTTCCTAAAATTACAAGGCTAAGAATTACTTGAGGTGTTAAGGGCTAAAAGGAATAAAAGAATAACAAAACAACTGTCAAGCTCTCTGCTTAAAGTGCTTAAGCATGCAATCCTCTAGATATTAACCTTGTTTGCAGTTTGACTTTTTTAGCTCCAATGAGGAGCTCTAGCAGTACCCTGCTGATAGATTAATTAATAGATCTTTTTTGTATGAGCGGCCGTTAGGGCCACTAAAATCTCATCGGAGCTTTAAGATACGAGAACTTGTTTTTGTCAAATTTCTGTGCAAATACCTATTTATCATACATAGTAAGAAGGAAGTTTAGGCTATCAGAACAACTATAATTCAGATCAGATTTAGATGGGCTGAGTGCAACATGAGGCTGCAAGGGCGTATGTGGTCAGT